GGGAATGAGTTACACAGGAATAGTCCTACATTGGTGCTACTATTACTTTCGACCCCCCCCCCCCCCTGCCGCCCACCACCACCATTTCTCCAGGCCATTGAATTTTCACGCAGCATATTTACAGGGAAAGTGGGGAGGGCGTGAGGTGTCCACGACACTAATTCTTTACAGAAGAGACAATAACATTCACCAGGTGACACTGCGGGAAACTTGCCACCAAAACTGAAATTACGTGTCAGAGGCATTTTTAGAACAAAGCAAATCAGACCATAATGGACCTGCTCCTGATCCCATTTAAGTCAACAGGACTTTCCAAACTGATTCCACAGGGAGCAGGTTGGGCCCCATGTGACCCATTGTTGTTCTTTACAACTGCAAATAACCCTGGGGATCCACTCTAGGGAAGGACTCTGCTCTGGGTGGGGAAGAATTAGCCAGTGACCTACCAGGTCCTTTCCCGTTCTAAGTTCTTTGATTCTGGGATCTACGGAATCTCCATGCTAAGAACAGGGTCTCCCAGGCTGGGTGCTGTAGGGATTTAAGTGACCGTCTCCATTGGCTCTGCACTGGTGGTCTCTCCATCTTCTCTGGAATCTGTCTTCTCTTCAAAAACCCTCTGGAGAGCGACCTTGATGGAGCCACAGAATCGCCGCTTCCCATAGCTCCCGACTAGAAAGTAAATAAATGGGTTGATGCTGCTGCTTGCAGAGGCCAGCATGTGAAATATCTCACTGGAATCGAATATGTTATGATAAAAGAGGAAGATCTGGACACTCTGAGGGACAGTGAAGAGGAGGAAGAAGAGGATGGTGAGCAGGATAACAGCATAGAGCTTTCCTGGCTGACGTCGCTGTGAGCTATGTTGAACCTTGATGAACAGGGTCAGACTGGACAGAACCATGATGGGAGTGAATATCAGGACATTCAGAAAACACGTGGGTAGGAAGGATATGACACAGTGTTCACCTGAAAGAACAATACAAAAAACACCCACTGGACAGGAGAACAGCATGGAGAGAGCCCAGAGCAGGGTGCAGACAATGGCAGACAAGTGTTTTGGCCGGCGGCATCGGTGCCAGATGGGGTAGAGGACAGAGAGACACCTCTCAGTGCTGATGGCCGTCAGGAGGTACAGGCTGGTGCTGTACATCAACAGAGCAGGCATGCTAAATAGCAAGAATACGTAAATAAAAACATCATTCACACAAAATGGATATTCCACCACATAAACTATGAGATAAGCAGTCGAGCACAGGAGGAAGAAAGTGTCGGAGACGGCCAGGTTGAGGATGTAGACGGTGAAGGGGTTCCTCTTAATGTGGAAGCCGAGGAACCAGAGCACGATCCCGTTCCCCACCAGCCCGAACAGGCAGATGAGCAAAGTGATGCCATCGATGGCTCCTGGTGGTGCATCAAACAGTAGGCATCCAGTCTTATTATATTCCACTTCATAATCTAGGTAAAACAATGTTGGGGGAAGAGACACTGTGCTCAGCTCGGCCATCATGAAACCTCTGCTGCAGGATGTCGGTCTCTCCCTCTCCCCCTCTCTCACACACACCTGTTAGCAGAGAGTAGACAGAGGGGGATCAGTGACTTGGACATCCCCAGCGCTGTGTTTCACTGATTGATCCAGTCCCTCCCCAGCCCCCTGTCCAGGTAGAGCCAGATCCCAATGAGTGGGAGTGAGAAATATCCGGAGAGATAATGGCCATGGGGGATGCTAGGGACAGAGAGAGACCTGGAGAAAGGCTGATCGGTGGGGAGCATCCTGAACTGACAGCAAGTGACAGAGACAGAATTAAACACAGGGGCTGAGCTGGACAGACAGACAAGGACAGAGAAACAGAAATTGGACAGGATGTTGCCCATGTAGGGACAAGGAACAGCACTGGGGATGGGGTGGGGCCAGGGGAAGTGGATAATGGGAGAGAGAGAGAACAAACATGTCTAATTAATGGTGGCAAAGAGCTTTGAATCCATCCAGCAGTTCCTTACCTTCTTTCCTCCCTGGGGCCTGAACCGAGTGTTTACAGGAGCCGGGCTGGGCCGGATCCACGTCAGAATCTCAGTGTCTCACGGTCACTAACTGCAATTCTTGGATCTTCTTGGGAAAGTTTTTCCAAGTAATAATCTGTTATCCAGACATGGAGAATGTCCCTGCCAGTCCCTGTGACACCCAGCACCTCCCAAGTGTAGGCAGAGAAATGTCTTGCCCACCCTGCGTGGTGGGACACAGAGATCACAGCGTCAGGAGGTCTCGTGAGCACTGGGTGGTTTGATAACATCAGGTAGCGACAGGGCTCAGCACATTGCTCCTGCTTTCCTCAACGTAAAGGAAATGACTTGCCCAAGATTAAATTGCATGAGTTAGATGTTGTAGAAAGCTGCATTTATGGTGAAGAGAAATATGGGATTGGGGAACAGTCAAAAATTTCCAATCTATATTCTTTGTTGTTGAGAAATTAGGTTTTTGTATCAATCAATATTTTTGCAATAAATGTCCAAATTCCTTGCATTTTTTATTGTTTGTTGGAGAACTAAACATCACAGGTGGAAATATTTTAAGCATAAACAACAATATTTTTATCCTCTGTGGTGCCTCATGGGAGCTGTAGTTTGTGTTACCTAATGCTCCCATTCTCTATGGGCCAGGCTATCCTGCTGAACTAAATCTCCCACTATGTACTGCGTCCATGTGACTACTGTAATGAACTGCCTCCTCTCACCAAAAGGGAAGACTGTGGTGCATCATGGGAGATGTAGTGCAACCTGGGAGCCCAGTCTATAGAGGAAAATGGGAATTAGTGGCACTTGAACTACATCTCCGAAGAGCAACGATGGTGACATTTCAGAATTGAAATATTTTGGTTTTTAATTTTTCATTCAAAACTTGAATCTTTGAATGGAAAAATGTATTCAGAAACAATTTTTTATTTGTCCAAATCATCCAGGGGGAAAAAAATCTTCTTTAACAGCTCTACTGTGGGATTCTATTGTATTATCTCAGAATTGATTCCGATGAGAGACCCAGTAACAACAAATGACCTTTACAGCAACTTGGCGGAAGATCTGAACAAACTGCATGAGGACTGGACAAGAGCTGTGAGTCTGGACACAGACAGAGCACCCTCAGTGATGGACAAGAAAGCTGGAGTTGTGAGAAAATTGAAGGCCAAATTGCAAATCAACCATAAGCAACAGTTTTTCACTGTATTTCACATCAAGAAGCTCTCTGTAGTAAAATGCTGAAATTAAATCATGTGATGGATGTGATTGTTAGAACTGAACATTTTATTTGAGTTTCAGGTCTTAGCCACCAGCTTTTGGAAGAACGGGACATTCATCATGGACTGCTGTATCACACTGAAGTCATTGGCTAAGCCAGAATGCTGGGTTGAAGTAATTTTTTGAATTGCATGGTGAGATCCAATTTTTTCATGGATCGGGAAGTGAAAGGTGTCACCGAATTCGAGGACAATGAACAGCTTCAAGACATTGTTTTCATGGCGGATATTACACAGCACCTCAACTCACTCAACACCAGAATGCAGGGGCCCAACCAAGTAAGGACAGATTTCTACACTACCATTCACGCTTTTGAAATTAAGCTTCAGCAGCATAATGTGGCACATTTTTTTCCTGCCTTGAAATCGCTACCTGACACTGTTGGGACTCAATGTGATGAGGCCACAGAAAGGTAGATGGGCAAAATTGCTGAACTGAGACAAGAATGATTCTCTGATTCAGGAACCATGATTTATTACATTTTCCACCAGGGTTTGCTTCACAGGGTCTTGGAATGTGGTATTCTTTTAGCAGCAGCTAAATGTTGCTGACAAATCAAGTACATGGTCTTTCAAATAATCATAGAATATCAGGGTTGGATGGGACCTCAGGAGGTCATCTAGTCCATCCCCCTGCTCAAAGCAGGACCAGTCCCCAACTAAATCATCCCAGCCTGACCTTACCACCTCCCTAGGTAACCCATTCTTCACCATCCTCCTAGTGAAAAAGTTTTTCCTAATATCCAACCTAAACCTCCACCACTCCAACTTGAAACCATTACTCCTTGTTCTGCCATGTGCTACCACTGAGAACAGCCTAGATCCGTCCTCTTTGGAACCCCCTTTCAGGTAGTTGAAAGCAGCTATCAAATCCCCCCTTATTCTTCTCTTCTGCAGACTAAATAATCTCAGTTCCCTCAGTCCACATTTCCATTCATGCCCACAAAGAAATACATTTTTTTTTGAAATGCACAACACTCTTGATCTACCTTTCTCTTCTTGGCTAAACAAAGAAATGATGAACGGTAAAGGTAGATCTTTTCTTTTTATTTAAAAAGTGTAAACCGGTAGTGTGCCGGTTTACCATTGGCAAGAGCCATCCACCCTTTGACTTATCTGAAGCTTTCTTTTCTTTGATTTGCCACTTGGGGTATCTAGTCTCCAGCCATCAGGTAACACTCTTCAGTGCCATTTCTGGACACATACCAGGTTCCACTAGACTTATGACTCTTCAGCATGACCAACTGGTTCTACACCCGTTTGTGAGGTTTTGCTGGATTGTTGCGCAGCAGTCCTGGTTGATCTTAAAGTACAAATTAATGCTACTCACTAGGATTTGAACCCACCCTCAGGTAGACATGAGGGTCCAACGACAAGTTGACCACCATCATACTCATAAGAAATGTATGGCATGTCTACATGGCCCTGGAGTTTGGACTACAGCAGTGATTTGTGTTGCACCCTAACTCCCCCGGACTACGTCAATGCACACTAGCAGGACATACACGGTGGTATTAGAGCTCAACCCACTGGTGCACTCTACAAATAACACCCCCATATCATGGAGTGTAGGGTCATGTAGACAAACATGACAATTCACAGGGAGTCTGTAAGCTGGATGAAACAGTTCCATGGTGGAGGGGGGGAAAGGAGGGGGAGGTTCTGCCCTGCGGGCTGTATATTTGGCACCCCGATCTAGAGGCTGAACTGTAAGACGAGTCTGCAAACCTCAGTTCACTAGAAGAAGGACCTTTGTGTGGGATCGAAGTGTGCATTTAGGAAAAAACCCTGAGTCTGGAATCTCCTTCTTGTCCTTGGTGTGTGACTGTTTTCTAGGCCAGCATTCACTGGTCTACACAATATGTACCGTGATATCTGAATGAGAAGACATTGACTTTTTGGGCGGGGTTGGGGGGGGGAAGCCATTAATTTCCTAGAAACACAGCAGTTTCAGCCTCAAAAAAAAAGGGCGGGGGAGAACAGCCTGTCTTACACACACTTTCCCCACTATTTAACTTCAGAGGTCGGTGTGATGGAACTAAAGGTTCCAGCTGTGCTGATGACCAATGTAGGCGTCTGTATGATGCCACATGATTGAAACATCACAAAAATACGTTAATTGGAAAAATGAGAGGAAAATAGAGTAATTATGAAGGTGCTAAGTTCTATGCTAGTTAACATAGCTGCATTACAGCCTCAATACATTAGGAACCTTGGTAAGTGTATGCTTATGATAAGTGAAGCTTTCCGTAACATCTGTCCCAGGAGGCCTAATCTTGGGCAAGCCATTTCCTTTATGTTTAGAAGCTCAGAAGCAATGTGCAGAGCCCTGTTACTGCCTGATGTTATCAACCACCCAATGATCATGAGACCTCCGTCCTAATGCTGTGAACTGTGTGTCCCGCTCTCCTCAGCAGGGGGAAGACATTTCTCTGCAAGACCTGGCAGCGACTGAGTGTTGGATGCTGCACAGGCACTGGCAGGGAAATGGTCAGAAAACTTTCCCAGAAAGATCCCACAGGAGTTAGTGATCGAGAGACACTAAAGATTCTAAAGAGGATCTAAAGATTTTAAAGATTCTAAAGACCACTTTCCGTCTACCAATATCTACTGTTGCCAAAGTCCTTGGACTTATCCCACCTCTCATAGAAACACAGGGCTGGAAGAGACCTGGAGAAGTCATCAAGTCCAGCCCCCTGTACTGAGGCAGGACCAAGTAAATCTAGACCATCCCTGACAGATGTTTGCATCCCATGAGAAAGAAGTGGCTGCACCGCTGCCCTTAAGGGTACATTCCCCAGCAACCTTAATTCGTGAGTCTACATAGATAGACAGGTGCTGATCCTTGTAACTTACACTTCCAGTTCATTCTCTCCCTGATTTTTTGGTTGTACCAAGCAGCAGCCCAGAAAGCAGCTATTTTGGGTGTTGTCATGAGCCACGTGGGAGCGCATGATCCAAATGATAAATGAGGCTGTTTGTAAAAAGCTTTTAAGGAATGTCCTTGTTGTGTTTTATGCTGGCAGGCCCTGTGGTCTGAAGTCAACGAGCAGAAGGTGGCGACGGAGGAGCTGTCTGCTGGTCTCTGCTGACAATGAAGGGAGCTGACTGGGTGATCCAGCACCTCATTTGCATGTCAGTTGTGGATAGTTTGGGGACATTGGGGTGTAATCTGGCTCTGTTTTGTATTGGGAGCCAATATTTTAGAGTTTACCTTATCAAGAACCACCTGGGCATGACCTGAACAGTGCCTAGGTTCAGGGT